ATATGTACCTATAATATTTTTCAAGTTTATCTCTGCAGCCCTAAGGGCTAGGAACTTGCTTCACTGCTTTTCAAAGAGAAGTAGTAAAGTTACTAGGTTGTTAAATTAGCAGTAAATAGAAACTACTGCAGTCCACATGATCATAGATCAGGAGAACAGACACAGTTCCTTTTATGTCTCCCCTTATTATGGAGGTTAAGGGAAATAACAAAATACAGGATCTGGAAGGCACTGGCTGAATTGTTGGCTGTAACATAATGACCCAGGACAAGATATCCAAGGCATGCCAACTGTTAACTTTGAACAGTATTTTTATCAAATGCACCCTAATGGGTGGGAACCAACTGTACCCACACACTTGCAAGGAGAATTTAGCAGAGTCTTCCACTAATAAAGGAGTTCGTTTGGCCAATTCTCTCTTCTGAACCACTTTCCCAAGCTATGCTGCAAGGGTCAAACCTCATTCTACAAGTGGAGGGGCACAAGTAGATTCCTTTACTGTCTCATGATTTCCTTAGGGTTTTCCTTAAAAAGTGGCCCAAATTGAGCATCCTGTACTTAAAGTTCAAAGTTTCCTGTGCCCTTCCCAGAAAAGACAGAAAGAAATTATTCCTTTTCCATATGAATATATTGAAATTTCAAAGAAAGGGCTATCTCACAATTCCCAAATTAAGACCCATAGAAACAAACAGAACTTACCTTTGCTTTTGCTAGCTAGTTCCACTGGTATTGTGGGGGACTAAAACTACACACTACAATACATTTGCATTTTGTAAAGTGTGGCTAAATGGCCAACTTTATTTCTGAAGAAATACTGCTGTGAGGTTCTGATACAGAAAGTGCTCCCAAGCTGGATCAGGGCTCCATGATACTTTCTGTACTCCAAAGCAGCTGTTTACCACAAAAGAGGAAATGGCACACAACCCTTGGATTGGAAGATGTTGCAGTGTGGCTCCCATGGCTGTTTTCTAAATAAAAGCGACCGCATTAAAGTTGGCTTTTTAGAAATGTGTTTATTGCCATAGGTAGTTCAGACAAGGGGCTAAATAAAGTGCAGTGAGCTAAGTCTTTCTCCTTTTGCACATTCCAGACAACAGACCATTCTTTTGCAAATGTTCTCTGTTCATCAAAGTATACCCAGCACACACAGTCACTTCAGAAAGGATCTCTGAACATGCACAGAAGGGTTTGTTGAGCCCAGTCTAACAGCTACTTCTGGAAACCTTCCTTCTGAGTATGTCTGGCCTCCACCCCACAGTCTGCCTGAGCACCTAGGAGAATGGCATGGAGGTAAGAGTCCCACTTCTCTCATCTCAAAGTCCAGAGCCCCACATTCCCAGCTCCCTCGCCATCTCCTCCTCTTCCTCTGACTCAGGGTCCAGATTGGCATGAGATGGGAACGTGCACCATGAATACCTGCCCCTCTCATTCCCAATGCGAATCACTCTGTGCTGCTACAGGTGTGTGTAAAGTGAGCCATGCAAAATATCAGGCTGGGCTCCCCAAGAAAGTCACCTACCAGCACCCTTCAGTATCTGCGTGAGAATATCCAGTGGAACCTCTTCTCCATTCCGAATGGCTTTGTGCCTCTGTTCGATGCACTCCTTGCCGATTCGACGCAGCAGCCTCACACTTTCCTGCACTTCTTTCACCACTTTTCTATTCCATGGCAGGTACTAAAACAGGTGAAGAGGTTGGCATTGCAACTTATATTTGCTGTTTAAATAATAGTGGATGTTTTAACAACACAGTTCGTATTTTGCAAGCTGATCTGAGGATGGACTTAGCTGAAAGTAGGCCCAGAAATGTAATCATTTAAGCCAATCATTAATCATTAATTAGCCAATCAGTACTGCAGGTTGTGGACCAAAGCCTTCAGCGTTAAAAAAAAAAAAGCACTGGACAAGCGCAAACGAAAAATAGATAGTGATGCACCTCCAAAACACTAGTTTGCTGGAGTCCCTGTGGTTTATGTTATTTCTACTGTTGATTTTTAATGGTATAGTTGTATTCTCTTAGCTGTATGCGAAGTTGATGACCCAGGCTGAAAGGAGGCCTTCAGATTTTGAAAAACAAACTGTTAGAAGAGATGAGTTGAATTTTAACATAACTGTTAAAAGATCCCAATATGTAGTCTTGCTTTTTAAATACACACAGGAACGAGACTGTGAAAGGAACTGTGTAGCTTGGGGGCAGGCTACTATTTTGGACCTTGAAGATATTTAGCAATTGACAAAATTGCCCCAGATACCACAAAGTGTAAAGCAGAGAAAGCACAAGGCACCTGCCCAAAAGACTAAGTCTCTTGCAAAACATCCAGAGGGCTTCAGCTATTGAGCAATATAGAATTGAAATTTGGGGTTAAAGTGCCAACACACTAAGCAACTGCTTGGACTGCAAGGTTTTCAGCTCCTATGGAAAACTATTTCACTGCAACCAGAGGAGCTGGAAAGTGTGCAACTGAAAAAAATGTTAGAGGGATTGGGCATCTTGGTGAGCACAAAGTAATGTATCTAGGGGCACGTGGGTGCCCATGGGCACCCTGCTGCCTGCCCTGGTCTAGAGAGCAGTGATGCCTTGTTAAAAGTTCAGTAAATCAATCAATGAATCTGCAACTGGACAGAGGATTTGTAAGCATTAACCCACTGATAAGTCAGGATCCCCAGCATGCTGCCCTTAGGCACCAACTTGCTCTTGGACACCTTTCTTGGCTCCAGCAAGGTTCCCTGCCCATGCCGGTATTTAAAGATGATGATGAAAATGACAGTAATTTTACAGTTCTTTTAAAAATTGGGTCGCTGGCAAGCTGGGGAGCAAAATGCAGGCTACAAGTGGCATATTTATTTTTAAGAATGCTTCTGGTTTCCAAACAAGCTCCAAACGCATTCTTAGAAAATAAAGCAAACAAAAACTGTTTGGATTACTGAATGTGATCTGTGTGGAGCACCATCTGAAGAGTATTTGGAAACTGCAGCTGCTTCAGGGCACTGCTGCCAGAGGGGTGACTGGGGCTGGCTACAGGAAACGCACAAGTCCTTAGCTGAAACAGCTCCACTGGCTCCCAGTCTGTTTCCAGTCTCAGTTCCAAGTGTGGGTTATGGCCTATAAAGCCCTTTACAGCCTGAGTCCAGGCTACCTGAAAGTCCACAGACTCCCCTCCCTCTCCAGTAAGATCTTTAGGAGAAACTCCTCTCTTGGTTCCACTCCTGCACAGCTATGCTTGGTGGGAATGTAGAATAAGGCCTTCTTAGTGGCTGCCCCAAGGTTCTGGAACTCGCTACCCAGGCTGTTGTGACATTTCTGGGGGAAGGCAAAAGCCTTCTCTTCCAACAGGAATAGCCCAGGCCTGTGAAATTATGCCAAACTAGCTATGTTGTATATAGTGTCTTCAACTGGGAAGTTTATGTATCTTTAATTCTTGAAGATGCTTATATTTTAATGTTGGTTTATTCTTATTAATGTTTTAATTACATGCGCCACCATGTTTCAATTACATGTTGAAAGCCACCATGAGTCTCAGTACTGAAGGAGGCAGAATATAAATAAATAAATAAAATTATTCATACTAAAATTTATAATAATAGTAACAATAACAATAACAGCTCATAAGCAGCACTTTGAATTTGGCCGGAAAATGACCAAGGTGAAGCAGCTCTCCCAAGGAAATCATGTATTCCCTCCTACCAGCACCAGTGGAGAGTCCAGACACAGCATTCTGGACTCCCCAGTCCACCAGTGGCCCTGCAGCAGCCACAGGGTCACCCTCAAGCAAGCTGCCAAAGCATGAGAGATCACTCTGACCCTGGGCACCAAGGCTACTGTCTCTGGCTTCGAGACCTCTGGCATTTACCATTGCTTTTACCGCTTGGATTGTTTTAATGCATGTAGTTTTATTGATTGTTGTAATGTACTGATTGTGAGCCGACATGCCCTGCATGGGGGGTGGCATACAAAAGTTTTAAATAAATAAATAAATTTTAGCCTTGGTTGCAGCATGTGCCCAGGTTCCAGCACAGTGCAAACTCCAGTGTGACAAGAGGTAAGTGACATCTCTGGAGAGGGAGAGAATTCACATGGGAAAACCTGTGCTCACCCGGAAGAACGGACGGCGTGCTGCCCCGATTCCTTTCATGATCATGGTCACTGCCTGCGGGAAAGCTGTGCGGTCATCATGAAGGGTGTTCAGTTCTAGGCCAAAAGCTGCCTGATCATATGGAGAAAGAAGGGAGGAACAGCTGAGGACTGGAGGGGCTGCCCTGATCTCTATCATCTATAAAAGGTTTACTCTTCTTGACAAATACTTGCAGAAAGTAGTCAGTATAGTAATATGATGTCTAAAATGCAAAGCCAGGCAACTTATCAGAAACAAAAGGTTGCATGAGGAACAGACTTTAATCCAGACAAAATCTGTAACTCTGTAGATGTTCACATCCATTGTGTTCAGTTCTCTTTCTATTTTAATTGCAATCAAGGCACAAGGAACTACTTAGGCTTCAAGCTGATGCACAGTTATCTAGGAGTAAGCCCTGTTGAACTCAGTAGCATTGTGGTATTTGCATGATATGTAGGAATTTGTATCACTGTGATCTCAGCTTGTGCACAGCCAGCCCTGTCATTGGATTGAATGAGACAACCATCTCAGGCAACAGATACGGGGTGGGAGGGGGAGTGGTGGTTCCCCAGGTATTTCCCCTAACTGCCTCACAGTGTTTCTCTCTCTTGGAGGACTACCACACAGCCCCCAATTTAGCTTGCTTCCTGTTCCTGGTGTTGACGTAAGCTTCACATGCCAGAATTGGAAGAAGAGACTGGATTGGAATTCTTAGCTGAAATGCCAACAGACCCAGAGATAAGCCAAAAGGTTGGTGAGAAACAGACCAGGTCCTGCTCCCCGGGAAACAACGTTGAACAGGTGGGGTTGGATGGGGGCAGCTTAACATTTTTAGTCCTATCATAAGGCATCAGCTGAAAAGGGTAGGCCAACTGAGTCGTGTCAGATGTTCCTGCTGATGGGTCTACAAGTAGTGTGAACCACCCTGAAGGTGGAGTCAACTCCTTTTGGTTGGGAAGTGGGGTGAGTTTGGAATTGGAGGTGAGTTTGTTATGAAGCTGCATTTCCCTAGCAGGTAGCATTCAGACTTTGCTGGTGTCTTTTGTCAATGACTTTTGCAATGCTCTTCCTTTGTACCACTAAACCTGCCTAGCTGACCAGTTTTAACATAATACTTTAGTTAGAAGCTTCTTGTCCTGATCTGCTGGGATGGGGTGAGGTGGGGTGGAGAGAAGACTGGCACCTAATTCCAGAGAAGTGAAGTTCACTTCATGACAGGGGCTAATGCTTTGGAACAGACAAACCAAGAGCAATCTGCCTGTAAATTTCTGTGGTTCTCATTTACACACTTGAACTAACCCTAGATCATTGGAAAGGAGAGCAATTCTGGTGATGATCACCACCATGCTTGCAGAAGGTAAGAAATATTTACAAGCATTTTGCTAATTCGTCTTCCAACCTGCTGCCGCCTACAGATGTGTAGGGCTAAAATTCCATCAGCCAGAGCCAGCATAGACAAGGTTGGACAAAGCCGTTATAGATGTTATATAGAAACACAATGTATCATTGCTACTCTGAATATGTGTCTGTTGAAAACCCTGCTTAGTCCTGTCAAAATCCCCATTTTAAAAAGAAGAGTCAAAACAGCTGTCAAAACTCTATGCTCCCACTAATGGAGTGGCTTGCACTTTCACACTGTCCCAAGCACCTGGAGTCTTGGGAAAGGGTGGGAAAGATGTAGGACAGTAAGAAGAATCATGTCCAGTAAAGAGAAAAGAGAAAAGAGAAAAGCAATGAGGCTCTCATCATGATCTGCTCCTGTAGGGTTCAGATTTCAGTTTCCACGTAGATACGGTGGATTAACAGTCTCATGTAGAAAAACACACTCTTGTGCTACCTTAAAGAGTAAGTAATCTATTACAGCATGCATTTTCATGAACTAGAGTCCACTTCATCAGCTGCTTCTTATGCTTTACTTCCTGACCCACTTAGGTTGCAAAGGAGCAATTCTAAACTCTAATTAAATCACCAAATTAATGGGGTGCTTGCCCTTTTCCCAGTACTTTCTCCTGATGATTTGAGTTGCCCTTCAACTATGGACCAATGTTCATTAGAGTTACATTCTTCTCCTTAGTGGAAACAGGAAATCATTACTACCTTTGCAATTATGTCCAGCGTCACCCGTCTCAGCAGGTCCATCACATCCACTGCAGTTTCTCCATCTGCTTTTTTCTCCAGCTCCATCATCAGTTCTTCTGCTTGTTCATTAAAAGTCCCCATCAAGCCAATCAGATAACTGAAGAAAGAGGTTGTGGCTTACCAAGAAGTTACCTTATATGTAGTTTGTAAAGGAACATCATTATCATCCTTACAATTAACTGTTAAAACACATCCAGAGCCAGTGGAGAGAATGATTCTGAAGAATGTCCCTTTGCCTTCATTCTCGCTCCACACATAAACATATTTAGAACTGGATGGTTAGAATTGAATTGAAACATATATAAAAACTTATAAAACAAACAATCTGTTTCACATATGTAGTTGGGTTTCACCTTCGACTAAATGCTGGATCCATAATTCTCCGCTGCTTGTGCCAATGGTCATGGTCATGATCTGTTACCAAACCATTCCCTACAAATCTGAAAAGGCAAGGAAAGAATGCATTATTTTAAGGCCTACCTTACTGTCTTATTTAATTCTGATATCATGCCCTAAATGACCAAGTCAAGGCCTGGAGGGAAACAGACCATAGGTTTGCTTCAACCCTTCTTCTTCCTCCCCACTAGTATTCTGATTTTCATCCTTTTCCTGGTTCCTCTAATCATAGTCTCATGTGCTGTCTCAGACGGGCCAATAATTGTTAGCACTAACTTCCTGGAATTTGAAACCATGGTTTGAAAAGTGGTAAGAACTCTGTTTCAAAAAAAAAAAAAAATAGCTCACTGGACTCCCCCCACCCCCGCCCCAACACACACACAATTTCCAGATAGCTTCTAGGGTTGCATGTGTCCGGGCATGCATTCTGTTTCAGCACCAGGCTTCTCTGAATGTACTAGGCTACTCATGACTATTTCCATCCTACTTTTAATCTAGAAACCTTGTGAAAAAGCAACACACTAAGGTGGAAGGGAGAATATCTTTCTGTTAATTCTGCTGGACTTCTCAGTGACTCTGGATACCACTGACTACAGTATCTACAGTATGCGCTCCCCAGAGAGGTCCGCCTGGCGCCGTCGTTATTTGCTTTTCTTTTTATTTAAGCAGCATTTTAAATGTTAATACCATGGAAATTTTATTTGGCCAGGGCGGCTTATTTTATTCTAATATATATATTTTAATTGTTATTGTTTTAATTTATTGTGTATTTTATTGTATGTTGTGAGCCGCCCCGAGGCTTCGGCAAGGGGTGGCATAGAAATGTTTTAATAAATAAATAAATCTTCTTTGGAAGACTTTTCTGGACTGGGCAGAGAGCTGCTGATTTACAGAAGCCAGTCTGCAGAGAGAGTCCACACATTACAGACTTTTCACATGGATTCCTCCAATTCTGGGCGCAGGCAGAAGGACAAAGGTGGGCAGATTAACTTGGCAATTTAAAGGTTACCTACTGAAGATTCTCAAGAGAACTCTCATGAGTGCATGAGAGCAAGGGAGACATTTCAGACTTGGGGAACAGGGTAGCTAATAGAAAGGGAATTCCTTGACCCAGTCAGTAGGTAACAAGTAAAGCAAGTGGACCAATTATGAAGTGGCTGGCATTCTCACCATCTGGCCCTCAAGCAGCAAGAACCACCCTGTGGGTAAAGTCAGAAGCTTTTTTGAAAGGGAGGGCAGGGTTCAGTTTAGATTCCACTCTTCAGATGGGCAGATGCTTCTCTCATACCTCAAAGAGAACATTAATCTTATTTATAGCGATTAAGTTAAGTTCTAATAAAATAACTGGGTCTTTCAAGTTGCATCTGAGTCTGCTGGAAAGGAAAAGAGGGAATGAGAGATCAGCTAATAACACAGTCTTTCTTGGAGAAAGCTTCTAGAAGATGAAGCTAACAGTCTAATGTCTACTTTGCTCCATATGATTTTCAGTATCTATGTGAAAACATAGAGATAAGTAATCCAGAGTTTTGGAGTTTTTTCTCATCAATACAAATTTATCAATTCTCACCTTGGTTCTACACTATTTCTGCCACAAAAGCTTTCCTGTTAGGAATTCTGTTCTGCAAGAAATACAGCTGCCTAGTGGCCTCAAGAATCACAAACTCTTTCTGAATACCAGTCAACCATTAAAGAATTTAACCCAATACATCGTGCATGATTTAACTTTCCAGTAACTTACCTTACACCAAACAAATTGCA